TGCCATTTTTTACATCTTCTCGTGTGAACTTGATGTATTTATCCACAGAGTTGATGTGGTCAGTAAAATGTTGGACTTCCTGAGATTTAATTTTAACCCAGGTGTCGTCAACATACCTGAACCAATGACTTGGTGGTGTCCCTGAAAAGGACGTCAAGGCTCTCTTTTCTACCTCCTCCATGTACAGGTTGGCAACAATAGGAGAAACTGGAGTAATTCAGCTGCTGGTCTGGAGCAGACAGGAGGAGGCGCGCGGCCGTGTCTGCACATTTGAAGGGTCACTGCGTATTTTTCAACCCACCTGACAAAGAGTGATTGTAAAACTATTAACTAAATAAAACTATAATTTTAAACAAAGCTTCCTAACATCACATCAGAGCTGGTGCTTCACATTTCTGCTTCTGCTCTCAAAAATAATCTCCGCCCCAAAAAGTTCAAAGTCGTGGGCAATTTTATTAAAAAACACAAATATCATTAAAGTTTTGCACTTTGCATAAGTTCCTGCATTTTTGTGAATCTGATGTGAATCAGTGCAGAGCAGGGATGAGGAGGAGCAGAGAGGAGGAGGAGGAGGAGGAGCAGAGAGGAGGAGGAGGAGGAGGAGCAGAGAGGAGGAGGAGGAGCAGAGAGAAGGATGAGGAGGAGGAGGAGGCTCAGAGCTCAGGTGTGGGATCTACTCATGAAATGAGAAATGATCCTGCACTGAATACACTTATAAATCACACAGGAAGTGATTTAAAGTACATTTGAAATACAGGTGCTGGTCATAAAATTTGAATATTGTGAAAAGTTGAGTGGCAGCACGGTGGCGCAACTGGTAGAGCTGCTGCCTCTCAGCGAGCAGGTCCCTGGTTCAAACCCCGGTCCATGGACCTTTCTGGGTGGAGTTTGCATGTTCTCTCCGTGCATGCGTGGGTTTTCTCCGGGTACTCCGGTTTCCTCCCACAGTCCAAAAACATGCATGTTAGGCTGATTGGTAACTCTAAATTGTCTCTAGGTGTGAGTGAGAGAGTGAATGGTTGTTTGTCTCGTTTGTCTCTATGTGTCCCTGTGATGGACTGGAGACCTGTCCAGGGTGTACCCCGCCCCTCGCACAGTGATTGCTGGACATGGGCACCGGCGACCCCCGTGACCCAAAATGGAATAAACGGGTAAAGAAAATGGATGGATGGATGAAAAGTTGATTTATTTCAGTAATTCCATTCGTGAAACTTGTATTTGTTACACAGACTGATATATTTCAAATGTTTGTTTCTTTAATGTTCATGTTTATAACTGACAATTAAGCAACTGACAAATCCATCCATCCATTATCTTTACCCGCTTCTTCCATTTTGGGTCACGGGGGTCACTGGTGCCCATGTCCAGCAATCACTGTGCGAGGGGCGGGGGACACCCTGGACAGGTCTCCAGTCCATCACAGGGACACATAGAGACAAACGAGACAAACAACCATTCACTCTCTCACTCACACCTAGGGACAATTTAGAGTTACCAATCAGCCTAACATGCATGTTTTTGGTCTGTGGGAGGAAACTGGAGCACCTGGAGAAAACCCACGCATGCACGGAGAGAACATGCAAACTCCACCCAGAAAGGCCCCTGGACCGGGTTTGAACCAGGGACCTGCTCGCTGAGAGGCAGCAGCTCTACCAGTTGCGCCACCGTGCTGCTTTTAAAATACATAAGATTTTAATTTTTTAGAGACAGGATGCCTCATTGAGTGCTGCTAAGTGTCACTGAGTTGTATTTTTTTATCAGTACAATGACAAAAAAGTTAAATTTAACTTTGTATATTAACATGAGATACATTGGCCAATTTGTAAAAGTATAACTGGATTTAATAAAGTACCAACTTGAGGGTTTTTAAATTAATCAACTAAATTGTTGCCCGTTTTAGCTGAGTTCCCCTCCAGTGTCAGTAAAATACTTCAACACAGCTCACTGTCGGGTTTCTTCTTGTTTCCTTAGTGATGGTTGTGGTTGATAAAAAACCAGTCAGAGTGCAGCTGTGCGACACAGCTGGACAGGTGAGCTAACTCTATCTTTGTGGATTAGAATGCGTTGAACAGTTCTTACCTGTGAAATTTTAACGGCCTGTTTTTGTCCTGCTCTGCACGGCTGTAACAGAAATGGGGCCTGGTCGATGGATCAGTCAATGTAAGTAATCCCTGATCACTGTGTCAATATGGATTCATGCTGGTCAACCTTTGTGTGTCTGTGTATCCACACCCACTGCTCCTCCTGTTACCCTCCAACAGATCTACTCAACAAGCAGCACATGGGGCAGAATCAAGTTTTTAAAAAAAGTTTGAATTAATTTATTGGACTCTAAATCCCAAACGGATTTATGTGAATATAATGCTAAATTAAAGGTGACCGAGATAAAAATCTTTGTCCTTTAAGCCAAGAGAAGTCTGGCTCTGTCAACTTTTTGGTGAACCATGATAAAGGGGAGGGATGGGTAAACATGCACATCTGTATGCAGCTGTTTGATTGGCCTGTCCATCGGAGCCGTGGTGAAGGTCATGAACTGAAGACAACAGCTGAAGTCACATTAGCGTTTAGCACGTGTTGCTACCAACATGTTGAAAATGACTCTCAGATACTGCATCACGTTTTAGCTCCACTGAGTTAGAATCATTTTTGTAATGACTAATGTTGATGTGGTAGCCAGCTTGAATTGAACTAACAGACAGACTTACAAGCACATGTGCACATGCACATGCACACACACACACACAAATGAGCAAAAACATAACGGTTCTTCTTTGCATTTGCATTATTGCCTGTGGACCTGGACCTGTGGCCCAGTTGTGACTGACGTTGAGTAGCTCTCCCCCACGTTTACTGCATCACCCTTTACAGGAGTAAAGTCATTATGTGTGTGCCTGCGTGCGTGTGCGTGTGTGCGTGCGTGCGTGTGTATGTGTGTGTGTCCCTGCGTGTGTGTGCGTGTGTGTGTGTGTGCGTGCGTGTGTGTGCGTGTGTGTGTGTGTGTGCGTGTGTGTGTGTGTGTGCGTGTGTGTGCGTGCGTGTGTGTGTGTGCGTGCGTGTGTGTGCGTGTGTGTGTGTGCGTGTGTGTGCGTGTGTGTGTGTGTGCGCGTGTGTGTGTGGTGACAGAGAAAAACGCTGTTTTTTTTCTATTAAACCTGTACAAACAGAACTACATATAATTGATAAGTTATGGATGTGGACAGAAACCCCATCAAGTCCCGTCACTACCAGCACCTCCAAACATTCAATATGATGAACTTTGAAGGCTTCTCTGAACCCAAACATTTAAAATATCAGTCTCTCCAGGTCCTCAGTAACCTTCAGGTTCCTCTCGGACCTTCTGGGACTTGCGGACCATCCAGCAGGACCTGTAAGGTGCATTTATATAAAACCTCTTATGGGCAAACATCTTTTTCTATATGAGGAATTGGCACCTGGAGTTCCCTACTTCTAAATTTGAAATAGATTTCTGAGCTGCTTCAGTTGAGATTAAAGCAGAAGCAGTTTCTGAACAATGTTCCATTTTATTAACAGGAATAAGTGACACACCTCTGATTTGATTGATATATATATATATATATATATATTTATATATAGATATATA